TGGTTCAGAGCTCTTTGGTACCTATGGGTTTTATTTTACATCAGAAGCAGCTGGATTTCACACCTATAGTTGCCACCCTTCTAGATTCTTCCTTCTGAGCTTATTAACACCATCAGCAGCTACCTTGAAGATATGCTGCCAGGAAAATAAATGTCTTCTGCAAGGAGCAAAAAGGTTTCCTATTCCCATATGTCAGCACTTCAGTTCAGGCCCATTGCCAATAACTAATAGCATTTAAACAATAGTTCATTCAGGTGAGAGTTATGAAAATGCTCCTCTTCTGAAATGATTCACCAGATATTATTATTTAAAAGTGAGAAGAAAATTGGCTGATTTTGCATTTAAAAACTACTGAATAACATTGAAAATGAAGCTGGAGATCCAATTCCTCATCCAAGCTTCACAGGTAACTTGCTACTTGACAATGAATTTCTACATGACCTTTCAACATCTCCATTTTCTCATATCTAAAATTAAGAAAATGCCATCTTTTTTACCTACTTGTTGTGAAAATAAAGAGATATGGCATGTGAAATGACTGAAATTACAAGATATTGAGCATATTTCAGATATGAGTATTCCAACTTAGAAATTTGAAAAAATTAAAATCTATAAATTGAGAAAGTTGTCAAAAGAATCATTGGTGATTGACGTTTATTCGCTTGATTTCTCATTCTGCGGTTGGATTGAGGAAAATTATTTATGTTCTAAAATATATAGTCAATAAATACAGTGAATGTTTACATTAAAAATTTGAAAATTTTTACAGTAAAAGACAGTATCACTAATACCCTCAAAATATTTCCCCTCACTTTGCAAACACTTTTCCCATCATTCTTACCACTTTCTGAAGCAGTTCTGGCAATCCTCTTTTGTGACTATTTTTTCTAGGCTGCCTCAATGTCCTGAATTGATTCAAAATTTTTATAGAAAGTTTTGCCAAATAAAAACATTATGATGTGTTCTCATCTACCTTATTCACCAGCGATAGCACCATGTGACTTCTTGCTCTTCCCCAAAGTCTAAATGACCATGAAAAGTAAATAGTTGGAATCAATTCAGGACACTGAGGCAGCTACAACAGAGAAACTAAAGACACTTATGAAAGAGGACTTCCAGAAAGTGGCAAGAATAGTGGGATAAGTGTATACAAAGAAAAGTGGGAGTGTTTTGAGATGGATTAACAACAATGTGTCTTTTTACTGTAATAATTTTTAATTTAAATATTCACTATCCTTTTCATTATACCTCCTATATGACTTTCAACTTAGAACCTAAAGTAAAAACTTCATTTTATTATCATCTCCTTTTTCTCTGATAGATCTTAGAGTACATTGGAGGAAACAACTATTTGCAAGTCTATAGAGTTAAGGATCCTAGAAAGTCACACACCCAAGCTCGTGGGCTGAGGCACTAATAAACTAAGTGAAACACTCATTCCTAGTTTGAAACTTACATTTATTACATCTAAAAATTAAATATAACCTTGCTTATGGAATCTAAACAAATGTGGATCATAATAAAAAAAGAAAAAGTTAGATCACAATGAGCTACAATTACAACAAAGAAAGGAGAGATGGGTATAACTCAATCCTTGTTTAGTACCAAATCATGAACAAAGATGATGAAGGTCACCTGATTTTAGTAAAGCTTTTTTTGATAGTTTTGCCAGATAGGCATAAATCAAGTAAAGTTTCAACAAAGTATGGATAGTGGGAAGGTGTGTAATCTTTATCTTATTTTTACTTTAGTTTCTTGGTATTTCTTTATTTTGCTATAATGAATATTTTATACACATTGTATTAACATTTTATTAGTAGTATATGTTTGCAATACAGAATAATTACATTCATCTTGGGGAATTGGTATCTACATATATCACATCTTCATCATTTATAGTAATGAACATTATTTACCTGTGAAATTTAAATAAATACATATAAACTTAAATACACCACCACCCATCTTTTATTTTTATCTTTATTTATTTTTATTTTATTTTTACATGTTTGTAATACATAATTACATTTATTTTCAGGCATTGGTACATATATATCCCATATCTTCATCATTTTTTATCTCCTTTTCCCTCTATCCTGCCCCTTCCCCTACCCCCTTTGCCATCTCCAAAATAATCTGACTCCCTATTTCCTAATATCTCTACTTTATTTATATTTTGGGTTTCTCATATAAAAAAACCATATGCTATTTAACCTTCTGTGTCTGACTTATATCACTTAATATTATGATTCAAAATTCATCCATTTTCTCAAATGACATGAATTCATTCATTTTTATGCCTGAGTAAAAGTCTATTGTGTATATATACCAAATTTTCCTTATCCATTCATCTCTTGTCACTATACAATCTTCAAAGATAAACATTGAAGATAACTGCAAAATGTATGCTTTATGAAATCATTAGGCAACAAGAATAGCATTTTCACTTAATTAATATCTATTTGATGCATATCTTATTTCTTTTAAAAACTTCAAAACTGCTTGCACAAATCAATTCAATAAATACCCAGGCTCTGTGTTGCATCTCTATTTGTGCCCTAGTGTGCCAAGGATAGTGCCTGTATATGTATTGAATGTGTTGAATTGAGAAGGTCTTGGTGACAAAACATGGTAAGTCACTGGCACCAACTATAGTCATCTTGCATTATTTGACTACAGAATGAGAACCCTAATATATGAAGTGTGGGGGTTATTTTCTTTAAAGCATTTGAAAATACATTTTGGAAGAAATGTTAAAAGGGGTGAACAGACAGGTTTTTTAGTTGGAGACTGATATTCTCTATGCATGAATTCAGCTTCAGATAAATACACTTAATTATCTGACAGAAAATGTCACCATCACATACTAGAACTCAGAATACAGAGATTCAAACTATTGAGAAATCAATGTGACAAGGACCCTTGAAAAGGTTAAGGCTCTCAAAAAGCTATTTCAAATTGTTATTAGCAACAGTATTTGGCAGGGAGAGATGTGACGGTGTGATGTTTGGCGGCAATAAGTTGTCTGTGAAACCAGAGGTAAAGTTCATAAGAAAAAATGTGTTTCTGACTTAACGTCCCTAAAATTCGTTTGGTTTGTTTGGCACTTAAATAAATATTAAAATACACAGCTGTGGACAAAGGCCTTTATAATGAAGTGATAACCTTGCTGCTTCCTCCTCCAGTACACGGGATAGAAAGAAGCTCAATTTCTGTATAAATATCGCTGACTGTCCATGTTTTACATGCAGATTGCTGACAACTGAGACTCTCTACTGTCCACCAGGAGACAGAATGCTATCTTTGACATTTGTTTTTTTATGGCTTTTTTGGGGGGGGGGGTACCGGGGATCGAACTCGGGACCTTGTGCTTGCGAGGCAGGCACCAGAACCACTGAGCTAAATCCCCAGCTATCTTTGACATTGTGAATTAATTCTGGACAGTAGATAATACAAAACATTAAGGTCATGTTTTTTTTGTTTTTTGTTTGTTTGTCTGATTGTTTTTAGCTCAGGTAGTTTTGTTTATGGGCCTGTGATATACAAGGAAATGTACTTCCTGGCTTCTCTTTCAATACAAAACTTGTTCCAGCTACTGATAACGCTGTGAACAAATAACCTTTACCTGTTTGCCCATTCAAAGAGACAAAGGAGTCACCCCAGTGCAAAGAACTCCCTTGATCAAGTTCACACCCTTCAAAGAGGCATCCACATTAACTGATAAATTGAAGCAAGATTATAACCTTAACCCTAGCCCAATTTTAGACAACTGTGACAGGTCATTCTAGTTTCAGAGCTCTCCATGGGGTCAGCTAAAGTTATTGCTCCTGCTTAGAACTTTAACTTCTCTTGGTCCAATTCTGTTTCTTTCTCCTGCTTTCTACAGACACTAAATTCTTAATACACATACTGAAGAATCAACTTCATTGTGAAATTGACTTTGGTCAACCCCACTGGCAAAAGAGTGGCACAAATAAACTTGAAAGGTGACATTTCTCAATAAGTAATACAAGTAAGTATTCAGAGGAAAGAATAGTCCTGGAATCTAGGAGACAGTTCTAAGAAGTATGAGTGGTCTATAGTAACATTCTCAGAAGTACAGAGTATGACATGGGCAAAGCCAGGAAAGGTAAGCTTTATCACAGAAAGAGTCACAAAATGAGGCTGCAGAAAAGGTGATCTTGGGATTAGAAAGAATACAACTGACTGTAGCTGATCTCCAGCAATAGTAGGAAAATACTGAGAATACTAAAGATAGCATAAAAAGGGTAGGTCTGTTTGATAACTAAAGAGCAGTTAGTGAATTTTTTAAATATAAATGAGAATTATGTTTTAGGAAATTCCAAGAGAAAGGTAGAGAAGCAGGGGAGATATTGGGAAGCTGTTACACTGATACTCCCATGATGAAAGCCAGAATGTAAAACAAGAAAGTGTGTGTGTGGGCAGAGAGAGGCCGAGATGGAGAAAAAGAGTCTTAGGATTAATTTCAAAGGAGAAATGTCCTATGAGAGGCTTCCACATGTGAATTAAACTAAGCAACAGTCAGTCCTAAGACCTTCTTTGGGTGCCAAGAATCATTTGATGAATACCATTTAGTGAACACTTAGGTATATTCAGGATTGTTTCAAGTACTTTAGATAGATTTTATTAATTTATGATAGGCATTTTTCTTTTTAGCTGGTAAATAAGTCACATTTAGAAACACTTGAGTACCTCTCCAATGTCATCCCACTAATAACTGTCAGAACTGGAATTTTAACATAAGACTTTTATCAGTTCTCTTAAGTACTATATGAACACATATCTAAAAATGAAGATTTTAATATTAAAAGTTTTTTATTAGTAATGAGGCACCAAATTAGAAATTTTCTATTGATAATTATTTATTGATGTCAACATATATTTGAACAAGTCTATTCCTAAATCATTATGTTCCTTGAACACAGGAAGTCAAAAGGAACAAGTCCTCTGAAATTAAACCTGTCAGGCAAATACATTACCTTTCTCCTACTGGTGTAATCTACTAATATAGTACATAGAGTACCTTCATTCATGAACTACCCAAATTTAGGTAGTTGAAGAAGTTCATATTCTACTTCAACAGGTGGATTCTCTAAGGGTCTCATTCATCTTTTCACATTGGAGTTTTTGTGCCATGGAGGAAACTACAGAATGTTCTCAAAATGCTCTGAATTACTTCCTCTGGTATCCAGTGCCCAGTTGAAAAGCAACTCTGCAAGTCAAGAAAATGGTCTGGAATTCTGGAAATTGGAATTGGCTTTGTGTGAGTAATAGAGGTGCATAATGGTTATAATCCAGTTTCCCAAAGGACATATAAAACACTATTCATATTACCTTTCTTTGTGTTATAAGTCTTCAGTTATATCTAGAAGGAGATATGGAGGCATATTTTAATATAATACTTTATTCAGAAGGACAATGCTATTAATAATTTGTTGAGTGATGATAAGCCTACTTAAACTTGTTGGCTAGCTATCTTCCAACAATTCATTTCTGATATTTTTAGATATCTGTATTATTATTATAATTTAGCCATATAGTTAAGTTTGTAAAAAGGAGTTATTCATAAATTTCTTAGACTCAATTAATTGTGTATTTCTGTATTCCATGCATTTCATTATTGCAGAAGAGTTTACTGAAACTGGAAACTCTTTGTCACATCTGCAAAAAAATGGTATTGAAATTTGGGAGAACTCTAGAAGGTCAACATGCATTTGTGCTCACCTCCCATGAAAATGAAGCTGTCTTGACAATTAATAATGTGTGTCTCAGCACTCTCATCTTTTCAATCTCTTCATTCCCCAAACCAACTTGAGGTCACAGAAAGGACTGCTTTTTCAAGGTACTGTCTCATACAACTAACTCATTGATGTGCTGCAAAAAAGAACAAATAAAGAAAGAGTCACATTACAAAGAGTTATGGAATTGTATTCAGAAACCTTTGGATAACATGCTACCTTTTGTGAAGAATAAAAATATCATGATCATCAGCGGAGCATAATATTCTGAAAAGTGTCATCTTAATGGCAGGTCAATCCCATGAAATAACCATATGGAGTGAAAAAAACAAGCAAGATAACATAACTACATCTTGTAAGGCATATACACAATGGATCTGCACACACACAAGAAAAACAAGGTTTCCCAAGGGACCATTAAGCTCCAGTTTGGGTTTCTTACTCTCATGGGATGAATATATATTGTTTGAGGAGCCAGTATCAGTGGTCTTAAAGTAGACTTGAACAATCAATGCACACTCCTTAGGGACTTCTCAAAGTTCTTAAATTTACCCTTTGATGATCACACACAATCAGAATGCAGTAGGCACCTTCTTATCGTTCATCTTTCAACATTAATATCATTCCGTTGGGAAGTTTTCGCTCACTACTCCATCTAAAGTAACTCCTCGCTCTCTACACATTACTCTGCTAGTTTTACTGACTACTAACATATCACTGATAAATGTTTTTCTTCTTTGTGTATTTTTAAAATTAATTTTATTGGTATATTTTAGGTATACGATATAAAGACATTCATCATTGGAAATTTGCACCTTTACATAATCTCTCCTGGTTCTTATTTCTTTCTCCATTCCCCTTCCCTCCCTTCAACCTCTCCATCCCATACTATATACAAAGACTTTGTTTCCATTTTTTAATTTTCTCATATTAATTCTATTCCCTTCTTTCCTTTCCCCTACCCCTCCCACTTCCCCTTTCCCTTTGCCCCTTTTCTTCCTATTTCACATTATCTACTATACCTTTTAGTCCTTATTTATAATTACAGTTTCTCACACTAGAGGAATTTTCAGTAGTAACACGTGTGTCCTATTTATTTCACTTAAGAATATCACTTCAATGTGCATCCATGTAGCTATAAATGTCTCTAATTTCTCATTTTTTATGGCTGAGTAGTATTCCATTTATTTATAAAAAGCCACATTTTCTTTATCCACTCTTCAGTTGATGGGCAATTGGGTTGCTTCCAAGTTTTAGCTATTACAAATTGTGCTGCTATGAACATGGGTGCACATATATCACTGTGGTATGATTCTTTTAATTCTCTGGGGAAGATACACAGCAGCAGAATAGCTGGGTCAAATGGGACTTCCAATCCTAGTTCTTGAGGTATCTCCATACTGATTTCCACAGTGGTTGGACCAGTCTACAATCCCACCAGCAGTGGAACAGTGTTCCTCTTTCCCCACAGCCCCACCAGCGTTTGTTATTGGTTGATTTCATGATAGCAGCCACTCTTTTCTTGTTGAGGTAGAATCTCAGCGTTGTTTTCATTTGCATCTTTCAAATGACCAGTGATGTTGAACATTTTTTCATATGTTTATTTGCTATTTCTACTTCATTGTCTGAGAAATGTCTCTTCATTTCAGATGCCCATTTTGCATTGGGTCTTTAACTTTGGGAGGTCTGATTGTTTTAAGTTCTTTATAGATTTGAGATAGTAGACCTCTGTCTGAAGAACAGCGGGTGAAAATTTTTTCCCATATTGTGGGCTGTCTCTTCACACTGCTGATGGTTTCTCTTGATGTGCAGAAGCTTTTCAATAAGGAGAGGTACCACTTGTTGATTATTTGTGGCACTTCGTGGGGAACTGAGGTTTTGTTCATAAAATCTTTTCCTGCACCAATGTCTTCAAGAATTCTACCTAACCTCTGTTCCAGCCAGTTCAGCGTTTCTGTTTTAATATTTAGATCTTTCATCCATTTTGATTTTAGTTTAGTGCATGGTGAGAGATATAGGTCCAATTTTAATCTTTGGCAAGTTGAAACCCAATTTTTCCAGCACCATTTATTAAAGAGGCTATCTTTCATCCAGTGAGGGTGTTTGGCTCCTTTGCCGAAGAGAAAGTAGCTGAGTGTGTCTGGACTTGTTTCTGCATCTTCTAATCTGTTCCACTGGTCCTCAGGTCTGTTTCTTTGCCAGTAACAAGCTTTATAATACAATTTCAAGATGGAGGTTGTGATACCCTGTGCCATATCTCTGTTGCCTGGAATTGCTTGTGCTATTCTGAGTCTCTTCTGGTTCCAAATGAAGTTTTAGATTGTTTTCTCAAGGTCTGTGAAGTATGCTGCTGGAATTTTAATTGGAATTGCATTGAATCTATATAGCAGTTTTGGAAGTATGGCCATTTTCACTCTGTTGATCCTTCCTACCCAGGAGCAGGGGCTGTCTTTCCATTTTCTGATATCATCTTCAATCTCTCTTTTCAGAGTACTATAGTTTTCAGAGAAGAGGTCTTTGATTTCTTTTGTTAGGTTGATTCCTAGGTATTTCAGTTTTGGGGATGCTATTTTGTAAGGAATTGATTGCCCTATTTCTCTCTCGGTGAGTCTGTTGTTCTTGTAGAGGAAAGCTATTGATTTTTGTGTGTTGACCTTGTAACCAGCTACTTGACTGAATTTGGTTATTAAGTCTAGAAGACTTTTGGTGGAGTTCTTGGGGTCTTCTATATACAGTATCATGTCATCTGCAAATAATGACAATTTGACATCTTCATTTCTTATCTTTATTCCTTTTATTACTTTCTCTTGTTTAATTGCTGTGGCTAATGTTTCCAAAACTATATTGAACATTAGTGGTGATAGCAGACATCCTTGTCTTGTTCCTGAGGTTAGTGTGAAAGATTTCAGTTTTTGAACTTTTAGTCTGAGATTGGCTGTTGGTTTTCCATAGATGGCTTTTATCAGATTGAGGTAGAGATCTTCTATTCCAATTATTGTAGGGTTTTTATCATAAATGCATGTTGGATTTTGTCAAATGCTTTTTTGGCGTCTATGGAGATAATCATATGGTTTTTGTCCTTGGCTCTATTGATATACTGTATTACATTTATTGATTTGCATATGTTGAACCATGTCTGCATCCCTGGAATGAATCCCACTTGGTCAATGTGTATGATCTTCTTGATGATCTTCTGCATTCTATTTGCCAGTATCTTATTAAGGATTTTTGCATCAATGTTCATTAGTGAGATTGTCCTATAGTTCTCTTTTTCAGTTGGTCTTTCTCTGCTTTGGGGATCAAGGTGATGCTTGCTTCCAGGAATGAATTTGGGAGTATTGCTTTCCTTTCAATTTCACTGAAGAGTTTAAACAGTAGTGGCAGTAGTTCCTCTCTAAATGTCTTGTAGAATTCAGCAGTGAAGCCATCACTCCCAGGCTTTTCTCAGTTGTTAAGTTTTTAATTATATTTTCAATTTCATTGATTGATATTGGGTTCTTTAGAATTTTTAGACCTTCTTTGTTCAACTTTAGTTATTCATACGTTTCTAGGAATCTGTCCATTTCTTCTGTGTTTTACATATTATTGGCCTATAGATTCTTGAAATCGGCATTGATGATCCTCTGGATTTCTGCTGGGTTCATTGTAATTTCACCCTTTTCATTCCGAATTGCATGGATTTGGGCCTTTTCTTTCCTTTACCTGATAAGCTTGGCTAAGGGTTTGTCAATTTTGTTTATTCTTTCAAAGAACCAACTCTTGGCTTCACTGATTTTTTGTATCATTCTCTTAGTCTCCATTGCATTGATTTCTACTCTGATCTTTATAATTTCCTCACTTGTATGAGCTTTGGTTTTGTCCTGTTCTTTTTCTAGAAGCTTGAGTTTCAGCATCAGGTTGTTTAATTGGGTTCGCTCTGTTTTCCTGAGTATTCACTGCTATGAATTTCCCTCATATGACTGCTTGCATTGTGTCCCATAGATTCTGATATGCTGTATTGGCATTTTCATTTCATTGTAGAACCTGTCTGACTTTTCTTTAATTTCCTCTGTGACCCATTGGTTATTAAGAAGAGTGTTGTTCATTTTCCACGTTTATGAAATTCTTGCGTTTTCTTTTGCTATTGGTCTTCAGTTTCATCATGCTGCTTTCTAATAATATACAGGGGATAACTTCAATTCCTTTTCACTTATTTAAACATGTTCTATGAGCGAGTATGTCTATTTTGGAGAGCAACCCTTGTGCTGCTGAAAAGAATGTGTACTCTGATTTTGTTGGGTGGAAAACTCTGTAAACATCTGTTAAGTTCATTGCTCAAGAATTTGATTGAGTTCTAGTATTTCATTGCTTATTTTTTGTCTAGTTGACCTATCTATTTGTGACAGTATGGTATTGAGGTCCCCCACTACTATTGTATTAGTGCTTATTCAATTTTTCATGTCCATTAGTATTTGTTTTATATAGTTGGGTGCACTAGTGTTTGGTGCATATATGCTTATGATTGTCATCTCTTCCTCTTGGATTGCTCGCTTTACAAGAATGTAGTGTCCTTCTTTGTCTCTCTTAATCAGTGTTGGTTTGAAATCCACTTGATCTGCAAAGAGGATAGCTACTCCTGCTTTTTCTTTGGGGGGCAGCGGTTCCTGTTGCATGGATTTTTGCTTTCTACCCTTTAACTTTCAGTCTATGAGTTTTGTTTTGAATTAAGTGTGTTTCTTGTATGCAGTATATTGTTGGATCTTGCTTCTTGACCCATTCTGCCAGTCTATTTTTTTTTATTGGTGAATTGAAACCATTAACATTGGTGGTTATAACTGATATATATTGACTTATCCTTGTCATGAATTTTTCTTTCTGTTGGGTTCTCACTCTTTACATTTAATTTCTTGTCATGCCAGATGGGTTCATTCTGCTTTGCTTCCTGGGGTTGTGATCCTCGTTGTCTTTGCCTAGGATATTTTCTAAAATTTTGGGGAGTACTCGTTTGGTATTCATGAAGTTCCTACAGTGCTCTTTGTCATGAAAGTGTCTTATTTCTCAATCAATTTTGAAAGATAGTTTTGCAGGGTACATTAGACTGGGTTGGAGACTGTTTTCTTTTAGGCCTTGGAATATGTCACTCCAAGCTCT